TTGGCCGGGCGCGGTGGCTCAAGCCTGTAATCCCAGCACTTTGGGAGGCCGAGGCGAGTGGATCACGAGGTTAAGAGATTGAGACCATCCTGGTCAACACGGTGAAACCCTGTCTCTACTAAAAATACAAAAAATTAGCTGGGCATGGTGGTGTGTGCCTGTAATCCCAGCTACTCAGGAGGCTGAGGCAGGAGAATTGCCTGAACCCAAGAGGCGGAGGTTGCGGTGAGCCGAGATTGCGCCATTGCACTCCCAGCCTGGGTAACAAGAGCAAAACTCCGTCTCAAAAAAAAACCAAAAACAAAAAACTTTAAAGACCTAATGTCGAATTATGGCTTGATGAGATCTCTGTGGGATAAAAAAAATCAAGAGATCACAATAACTGTTATTTTTAAATGTTCTTACAATGGAAACATAATTTGTTGATGAGAATGCACTGCCATCAAGAAAACAGAATTTAAAAAAAACAAATATAAAATATCAGTTTAAACCCTAAGGTGGGTTTCTGAAAAGTTAAAAGCTTTTATTGTTTGTTTGGTTTTTTTAACAAACATCAAGCCAAATATTGTTTAATTAGGTTGATTTTATAGTTCAGATATGAGTCATACTTTTAAAAGAGAAAATACTTGCTATAAATGTAAAAGTACTTGCTGTAAATGTAAAACATCACCTGTCATATAAATCTATTCTTGACCCATATATTGGCCAAAATTATTTCCGTTTATAAAATCTAATTTATATTTCATAAATCACATGATTAAACATTATTTCACCTTTGCTGTCAACTTCCTTCTTGAAGTTTCTATTTTCTACGATGTTTTCTTCCTCTACGCAACGGTATGTTTTATAATAAAAATGCTGAATGAGTATACTGTTAAATACTGTCCATTTACCTAAACAACTTAAAAGAATACTGAAATATTTTGAATAGCCACACTTTTTATAACAGCAAAAAAAGAGACTCCAAAAAGTAAATGAAAATCAACAAAACTAGGCAAATTACAATTACTTCTTTTATTTATTTTGCCATGTAGTGTAATTCTACTTCATGACTTTTTAAAGGGACGGGCATATGAAATCAAATCTTTAAATTATAAAAAAAATTCTGAAGATCTTTAGGTGACAGATTTTTCCTGATTGATTATTCTTTTAATGTTCTGGTTCAAGGTAAGAAACTAAGTTATATAGAAATATAAAAGCACACACTTCACTTAAAATATCTAGATTTGGGCTTAACCAATTATGCTGCTCCTTCCAGAGAGGGTCTCATTTGAAAAATGAAGGAGTAATATTGATGACTTCCAAGATCTGTGGCCACTCAGACATTCAGAGATTCTACAAACACCTTTCCCTCCTTGATTGTGAATGCTACCCTTTGTCTGCAATACCTTCTGAGTCAAAACGTACATCATTTTGTAGTTAATCATTTGTATTAGTATCTATTCAAAATAAAGCAAAATGTTGAACATGAATAAGCCATGTAATTCATATGGGTGTACTCGTGGTCTGGATACAGCAAATTAAGTAGCATCAACATGTAGACAAATATTCTGGTGTGCCTGACTACTACAGCCTTTTCACACATAAATAATGACTTAAATAACGACTGTAAGAACACTCTTTTCTCATTAGAAAGTGCACAAATGGCAATGTCCTAAAGGCTTTTTCATGGTTCAATGACCTCATCCAACTTTCCAGTTCAGGGCCTCCAACATTTCATTTTCAAAGAGCTACAGCCCACACAGTCTCTAACGGGCTCACTAACCCTATGCTGCCTATAGGTCTTCAATAATGCTATAGGGTGGTCATTTATCAAGTCCAAAGGCCTCCTTAGCCTATGCCTTCTTCTACAAATTACCTCTTCTACTCTATCCTATCTCTATTCTAATTATAAAATAATGATCACAAAAATAATAATACCAATGGTTTAAAAAAAAAATACCTTCGTCCTTTGACAGAAGACATCAGTTCTTCACACTATTTGATATTACTTTGTGCTGTGTTGCAAAGAAGGCAGGAAAAAAGTCAACTGAACCTAGTTCTAGTCTCAATTTTGTCAAAACCTAGTTGCGTAACCTTAGGTAAATTACAAACTTGCAACGGCTCCAGGATTTCTCATCTATAAAGACAGAGATTTCTTCTGCACAAAAAAGATTCAGTGTGCACCATGGCCCTGAAACTGTGTGATGTGAGGTCATACCCAGTCACTTCCCATGTTTTCATTCTGTGTTAATATTATTTTAAATCTGAGTCCTTTATCATGATAATTTCAGGATCCCAAAACTATTTATAAAGCTTCAATACTATACATATCAGAACTTGGTTAGCTAAGAAAAAGGAGGAGAGATAATCAATGTGTCAGCCCTGAAATCGGAAATACAACCATGGCCTTTCCCATCAAACACTTGCTTTAGATTCACTTCCTAAGCCTCACTCCCCTAGAAAGTCTGGTCAATGGAACATGTGCCTCAGTGACAGAAATTTAGAGTGGAAATTCTTTATCAGAACAAATTATTCCACTTCATCACTTTACCATGTGTGTTACTTTGTTAGTTCACAATGATACAGCTTAGGAAGGCTAGTGGTTTCAAGAATAACTCAAATATTAAATGAATACAACATCAAAGTGATTATAAAAGAGATTCAAACAGTTTTTCTTTCTGGTGTTCAGCAACTTCCTCCCAATCCAGCTAAAGATTCCTCTCTGAAACTGATATGTGGAGGGTGCTATCTCTCTATAAATAGGCTTATTCCATGCTATGTGAATCATGCTTGCTGACAGCAAATCAACAGATTAATTATTTGGCTTTTGTTAGTAAAGATAATAGCACACTATCATCTTCCCAAAAAGCTTTTCCACACACCACACACCCATTCTTCTAAGCTAAGCTTCAGAACAAACTGAAATGGTATACAAACATACACAGGTTGCCCTTGTATTGGGAATGTCTTAATAGGTCCTGCCATCTCTCTGCCAGATTGTTATTGTGACACTTTAGCTAAAGGAAGTCACCAGTCAGGATCCTCTCTGATGAGATGAACACTATGTAGAAGAAAAAGAGAGGCAAATTAAATGAACAATGAAGAAAATAATAAACTCAAAATTGCCTCAAATCTCTGCTATCTAACGAGATTCTAAGGAAAAGACTACAGGAAGCAGCAAAGACAGTCATTCCTTCCTTTGCAAAATTAAGCCATGCAAAAGTAATCCATTGCTCATCTCCAAATCAACTCCAAAGGATTAGTTTATCTTATTTATTCATATACATCCACCAATCATTCTTATTAACTTGCTTTTTTAGCAGAAGAGGCTGAGTAGGATCAACTCAAAGACGTCATATAATTATCCCAACTAGAGTGTAAGCCCGTACTTCAGAGATTGAGATATAAAAGTCACATTGAGTTCAGAATCTTGAAGCTCTCTTTAGACCACATAAGCCCTAAGAAAATAAGGCCTCGGAATTATCCCTCCGTACAGAAAAGGTTATTATATTTTCCACTAGATGAACTACTTTGTAGAGTTAACTCAAACTACTGCATAAATCTTCACTTTATAAAATGAACATGCTATACTAATCGAACACAAAATAATAGAGACTGGTAGCTCCTGTCTCAGGATAATTATTTTTGCATACTCCTGAAATCTACTTCATCATCATCACAAAATAAGAAAATGACCCTAGTATGGAGCGGACAGTGTCATGAAAACCCAATGGAAAATGAAACATGGTGGCTTCTTCATAAGGCTTAATCCCAAATTTCTGAGCTGATTCTGAGCCCCACTTGTCCAGACCTACCAAGTGTCTTCCTTAACTCAGCGGACCCAACCACGTACCTCATGGCTGGAAAACTAAAAGCACACCATAGTCAGATTTGCAAAAAGGCAAACTAGCCAACTCATTACAGAGCAGACTCCCTTTCTAGACAGTATTTCCTTTCAGTTGACCACAACAGGGGTAGAGTATCTGCAGAATGCAAATGGCTGAGCAGCCACAACCCAGAGGACCAAGAGTCTGATGGAAGCACAGATCTCTCCGAAATTCTGCTTTCATTCTCTCAAGCTGGGAACACTGGGACTGGCTTGAGCTAGGAATCATCATGTGGAAACTTTGGGTATTCAATTTACCTTTGCAAGTAGAGACGTATCAAAAAGCAATCATCTGAGGTCAGGGCTGCAGAAGAGTTAGCTTCAAAAAGCCCATACCATGAAAATCTCTGATCAAGCTGAAGTTTTCTTTACATACCCTGAGGCCAAACTGTGAATATTGTCTTGTTCCCTTAATGTCCCAAAAGTGTGAGTATGCTAAGTATGGTAATAGGACAGAAAAGTTAATGAGCAGAGTCCTGGGAAACCATGAGACTGGTTGGAAGAAAATAATAGGAAAACGAAGACTGTGTAAAGGAAGTGAAAGGGCATGAGGAAAAAATGAAGAGGTGAGAAATTGACAAGGGCGTCCGAAAGATACAACACCAAGTGTTGCTGGAGGAAGAACTGGAAAAATAATTAAGTTGATCTGGTATCTACTAGGCGTCTGTCATGGATTTATGGAGGGATAAAGGAAGAGCTGTATTAATCTTTAGGTCCTCAGTGGGCAGCATAAGCATTGTACTCTACAGATGAATGGATGCATAGAAGACTGGATGAGAGAGCAGGAGGGAGACAGAAAGAGAGAGAGAGGATGAATGAATACGTGAATGAATGCGGTGGTCACTGCCCTCAAGGACTCTACAGGCTCTTTTGAAATGAGTGCATCTATACACGTAATTCTTCTCCTAGTCAAACCCTGGATTGATCAAAGTATAAAGTGTTTTGCTGAATATGGGACAAGAAGCTATTAACTGACAGAGTGGTTGAAACAGACAAGTCTGGAAATGAGAGAAGAGGGGTCAGAATGTAAAAGAGGAATCCTGGTTCCCTTCCACGGGCGTCGCGAGGTGCTTTTAGGAAGAGGAGAAGGGTGTCCGCCTCTAGGGAGCCCACTCTCCGGGCTTCTACTGACCTGGTCTCCGCCTCACCGGCCTCTTGCGGCCGCTGCAGAAGCGCACTTTGCTGAACACCCCGAGGACGTGCCTCTCGCACAGGGAGCGCCCGTCTTTGCTGGGGCTGGAGCGGCGCTTGGAGGCCGACACCCGGTCGCTGTTGGACTCCCTCGCCTGCCGCTTCTGCCGGATCAAGGAGCTGGCTATCGCCGCAGCCATAGCTGCTCAGCGAGGGCCCCAGGCCCCAGGCTCTACTGCGCCCTCGGGATCGCGCTGCGCCGGGGCGAGGGCAGGACCTCGGCGGGCGGCCGGGGACAGGGCAGTCGCGGGGAGGCAGTGCTAAAATTTGAGGAGGCTGCAGTACCGAAAACCCGGTGCTCACAAGGTTAGTCAAAGTCTGGGCAGTGGTGACAAAATGTGTGAAAATCCAGATGTAAACTTCCCCAACCTCTGGCGGCGGGGGCGGGGCGGTCCCAGGCCCTCTGGCGAAGTAGACGTTTGCACCCCAAACTTGCACCCCAAGGCAATCGGCCTCCAAGGGGCAGTGGGGAGTTTAGTCACACTGCGTTCGGGGTACCAAGTGGAAGGGGAAGAACGAGGTCCAAAATAACAAGCCGTGCCTCCGTTGGAGAGGCGCAAGCGTTGCAAGGTGTCCAAAGTATATCTACACATACATCCATATAAAACCCGTTTACAAAGCAGAGTCTGGACTCAGGCGGGTAGCGCGCCCCCGGTAGAAAATACTAAAAAGTGAATAAAACGTTCCTTTAGAAAACAATCCACCAACCGCACGAGAGAAGGAGAAGAAGGCAGCAATTTAACTCCCTGCGGCCCGCGGTTCTGAAGATTAGGAGGTCCGTCCCGGCAGCGTGAGATCTACAGAAAGCATTGCACCGGCTGCGGCTTTCCAGGGGCCGGCCGCCCGAGTTCTGAATTCCGAGAAGCGCGAAGTGGGAGCGGTTGCCTGGAGTCTGGGGAGGGCGCAGGGCGGGGGCAGCTGTTTCCAGCTGCGGCTAGCGCGACTCCCCGCCAGCAACACTGCGAAGAGAGAGCGGGAGGCCAGCGAGGGGGGAGGGCTCGAGGGAGGGAGGGAGGGAGATCCTCGAGGGCCAAGCACCCCTCGGGGAGAAACCGGCGAGAGGCGATCTGCAGGGTCCCAAGAGTGGGCGCTCTTTCTCTTTCCGCTGGCTTTCCGGCACGAGACGGGCACAGTTGGTGATTATTTAGGGAATCCTAAATCTGGAATGACTCAGTAGTTTAAATAAGCCCCCTCAAAAGGCAGCGATGCCGAAGGTGTCCTCTCCAGCTCGGCGCCCACACGCCTTTAACTGGAGCTCCCCGCCATGGTCCACCCGGGGCCGCCGCACCGAACCGGTCTCCGCACAGGCTCCGAGGGAGCTAGGGAAGGGAGGGAAGGAAGGGGCGCCCTGGCGGGCTCGGGATCAGGTCATCGCTGCGCTGCCCGCGCCCCCCAGGCTCGCGCGCCCCGGCAGTCGGCAGCTCACAGGCAGCAGATCAGATGGGGATTACCCGCCGGACGCAAGGCCGATCACTCAGTCCCGCGCCGCCCATCCCGGCCGAGGAAGGAAGTGACCCGCGCGCTGCGAACACCCGCGCGTCCGCTCGGGTGGGGCGGGGGCTGGCTGCAGGCGACGTCGGCTCGCAGCGGCTGCGGCTCCGGGCCGGAGCTGCCCACCATGGTCTGGCGCCGAGGGCGCAGGCGGGGCCCCTAGGCCTCCTCGAGCGACCACGGGAGGCAGCCGAGCGCGCAACCCAGGCGCTTGGGGCCGGAGGCGGACTCAGGGGCCCGGGCCAGGAGGCAGGTGCGTGCGGCTGCCAACTCGCCCAACTTGCTGCGCGGGTGGCCGCTTAGAGCCTCGGGCTTGTGGGGCGCCCCCAGCCGCCGCGCCGCGGCCGCCGCCTCCCCAGGCCCGGGAGGGGGCGCTCAGGGCGGAGTCCCATTCATGCGCTGAGGCTCTGGGCGCGCGGAGCCGCCGCCGCCCCACCGGCTGGCTCAGCTGGAGTGCTAGCTCCGCAGGAAACTCCGGGCTGGGGCGAGAGCCATGGAGATGGCGGGTGGGATGCAGAGCCGGCGGCAGCCAGAGTTCCTCCCGCACCGCCCACCGACCCACGGAAGGGCGGAAGAGCGCCCAGGTGGGGCCGAGCTGAGGGCCGGGCTCCTGGAGCGCAGGGAAGCACAGCGCGCTCCAGGTTCCCTTTCCTCACGCCCTCTGCTCCCAGACTCCCTTCTTTCCTCCCTCCCTCCTGCCACCCCTCTCCCTCCTCTCTGTGTCTTCTGTCTCTCCCCTTTTCTCCTCTCTACGCAATCCTACGTGATTGAGGTTTGGATGAGAAATTCTCAGAGGCAGAGCAAGGGAACTGCAGCCCGGGTCCTCTCCGTCCCATCCCTCCCACAAGAGAATCACAACCACAGAGGGGGTTGAAGGACCCCAGGTGCGCAAGGAGGGGTGATGGATGGGGGAGGGGAGAGGTGAGAAAATGCAGTCCACCCTCTCTCCAATAAGCTTGAGCACGTAGAATTCTGTTTAGTGAGGAAGAAAGTGAACACTGGACAAAGTAACAATGACCTCTTGGACCTTATGTGGGGCCCCACCTATGGCTCATTTTGGAACAGGAAAAAGTGTTTCCCTCCTTCTTGGAACCCAGATTTCTTGGTTCTGTCCGGAAACCAGCGAAGCAGGCTCAGTCCCTTAAATATGAGCCCAAATGAGCAACCTGAACAGAGGATGACTCCAGGTGGGGTGAGAGAGTGATGTGGACAAGGACAGTCAACAAGAAGCTGTGACGTGCAGTCAGGTCTCCAGACGTGTGCGTGATGGCATCTGATGCTGGAGACACTGGGCAGAGGAGTTCTCCAAGTTAAAATGCAGCATGAAGCATTAATCTCCTTCCATTCTTGCTAAGTCTGGGAGTGGCTATTGCTTTCTACTTACAATCTCTATTCAAATATCCCTAATTTCTCTTCTTCAGACACTTCATTAAGCATCTAGGGTAGTGTGGAAGGATTAAATGTATGATTTCCAAGCAAAGCCAGATATATGTTGGAAACATCCTAATGGAAGACAAGGAAAATGCAGGCCCCAGAAGCTACTGAAAATGAATGTGGGACCCAGAGGGACCCCAGGAGCTCTCTAGATATGAGCACAAACCTGTGGACCTAGCCAAGATGGACTTGGGTGATGAGAAGGATTGAGATCTGTGACAAAGTTCAGATCAAGCACCCTACAATTCCCTGGGGGCCTGGACCTTCCAGGCTGCCAGCTGGGCAAAGCAGAGGCTGGCAGATAGGGGCTCATGGTACAAACAGCTGGGAGGATTACATAGGCAAGACATCCTGAGGAAAGGGAGAATCCCAGCTGTCGTTTGGGGAGCACACATCTCTTACAGCAGTTCAGTGTGGCTGGATGAAAACAGTGGATTTATCCTTGGAATTCTAGCAATATAGAACAAGACACGTGAAAAAGACACATGCGCACACACCTTATGTCCAGAAGTAAGGCTGAATACATTTCCAGTATGTACATCTGGATGGGGTGAGGGACATTACTTAAGATTAACTGGTAATTCTATCAATTAGGAAAATTTTCACATTCCACAAATAAAATTATTTTCCTTTCTTGGCTGCCAGAAGACTTGTCTCATTCTTGAGCAAGGCAGACACAGATAGTGCTGTGGGCTCTGGGGGCTCCCTGCCCTTGCAATTAAACACCCAAACAGACAAAGGTCAGCTAAGGGGAGTAACCAGAGAAATAGGCAAGAGGGGGTGTATAATGAGGCCTTGAGGAAATTATTGCTAAATTTGGAGTCTCTTTTATATCCTCAAAATGGGGATAATCATTCTCATCTACCTCACAGAACTGAATATGCATGTGCAAGCATTCTGAAAACTGGAAAATGCCAAATGAATGAATAAAATGATGACTGGATTTTTTTTTTTTAAAGAAAATGCATGAGATTCACCTGAAATGCTTGATAAACATGCAGATTCCTGATGGTCTCTCAAAAACACAAAGCAGAAGTCTGTATGGGTAGATCCTAGGAATCTGAATTCTTAACAGTTTCTCCAGGTGTCAAAGTTTTGGGGGTTAATGTATGTTTGCAACACAAATAATGCTAAAAGACAGAAGTAAAATAGGGCACATTCCTCCAGAATTGCAGTTCTGTGCACCATCCCGACTCCCCCTACAGAAGGCCAGGAAAGAGGATGTGTATTCTTTAATCTTTGTGTCGATTTTTTTCTGTAGGTTTATAAGGTATGAGGGTGTGCTGATGCAGAAGGTAACCAATACAGAGGCACAGCAAAGAAGGAAGTTATGAGGAAAGATGAAAAAACAGATAACAGTTGCTGTTTGAAGTTCTCTCTGTCTTAACATGACAACATCAAGTTAGGCATTTAAAGAACAGAACAAAAACAATCAATGTCAGCTTTCTGAGTGAAACATTATTTCTGTGTTTAGATCTCTATTAAAAGAACGTAGTATTTTGGATTCAATCAGACAACAAAGACTACTTTTTTCCTTGCACTCCTGCTGCTATTGTCAGAATGCTTTTTGGCTTTTTAAGTCATCATAAGCATCATTTACTCCATTTCCCCAGTGAAAGAAGTGAGTATAAAGAAATCTGAGAGGTTATCTAGGACCTAAAATCATAGATATTGAGCTCAGAAGCAATACTTAAATCAGTTTAGTTTATATCTAGAAATCCATAGATTTCCTACCTGAGCCACTAAATCTCATAAGTCTTCCTCCAAAGTTACTTGTACATTTCCAATATCTTTGCATTTTGGGACCAGGAGTGACATTAAGCCAACCTACTGATGATATAGGTTCAATAAACCACCCGATATTTTAAAGTGTTATATGTCAAGGATACCAATACTTTGATTTTTATGCTTTGTTTGAACAACTTAAGAATTTTTTTCTTCCCATTATGAATTGAAGGAGTGAAATAAATTTAGTTTGTTTGTTTGTTTGTTTTGAGATGGAGTCTCGCCCTGTTGCCCAGGCTGGAGTGCAATGACGTGATCTCAGCTCACCGCATCCAGGGTTTAAACAATTCTCCTGCCTCAGCCTCCGAGTAGCTGGCATTACAGGCGCCCACCACCACACCCAGCTAATTTTTGTATTTTTAGTAAAGACAGAGTTTCAACACGTTGACCATGCTGGTCTCCAACTCCTGACTTTGTGATCTGCCTAGCTTGGCCTCCCAAAGTGCTGGAATTACAGGTATGACTCACCGCGCCTGGCCCAAAAGTTTTAATTAAGTTGAAGAAAGCTGTCAAATACACATCACAATGATAATTATGTAATTATATTTTGTTATATATATAGTCTGTGCTTTTGGCCTCTAGCTGAACAATTAAAACATGGACAATCTTAATTATCTCCATATTTTAAAAGGAAAAACAGAGGCTTTTTGGTCTTTTGCTTATCCATAGGCCAAGTCT